GAGAGAGAGAGAGAGAGAGATTGGCGATACCCCAAAAATAAAGCGACTCCTCAAGTAGTTAAATTGTTTGGGGGTATTTCAAAACGCTTTAACTTATTTAAAGCTTGAACCTTAAGTTTAAAAATGATAGTAAATGTCAATATCAAATCCAGAATATTTTTGACACTCAGAAATTGCCTTGTATAACTTTAATATCACTAAGTCCATGAACATGATTGTCCTTTTTCCCAGAACACCAGGGTCAGAGAACCTGCTCCAGTGCTATCTGAATGAAGACGTTACCAGCATCGTCTACACCAGCAGTCGCGGCGTCGTGGGGCCCAGTGGAGTATGGGGACGAGAACACGTCGTACGGCAGCTCGTCCCCAGTGCTGTTTTACAACCGGACCAAGACGGCTGCGGAATCGGCGGTTCTGCGGTCAAATGGGCGGCGGGAAAGCTCAGCACACCTGTGCGGGAGGTACGTTAGAACCCACAGTGGTTAGAACCAGAAGTGTGAAAGTGTAAAAGCTACGCTCTCCGATGCTTTTTAAGAAGGGAAAAGAGAGAGAAAGAAATAATGAAAGGAAAAGGAGAAAAAAGGAAGTCTTTGCGTCATTCTCTTTTAATTATTGAGCGACTTAACATTATTGTTTGCTTGTTTGTTTGTTTGTTTGTTTGTATGTTTGTTTGTTTCTTTGTTAATTCCCTGCACGGTTACCTTGGTAATGACTTGGCTTGTGTCTTTTGTTACCCAGAGTTCTCCGTTTTCCCGGTATGCAAAAGGTTAGCAGGCCTGGAACTTTTATTTGCATAATCATGCGCAATGTTTGTTATGGTAGCATGGGGTCCCAAAGTTAGAAGGTTCGACGCTCCCTGTAAAGTAGGGTGCACAAGCAAGTTACAAAAAATCAATATGTTTGTGTCGAGGAGGGTACACCACACGGCTACAAAATATGTGAAAATCAGCTCAAGTTTGTCGGCTCGTTTTCTTATGGCGCTTTGCGGGGGGCACTGGTGAACTGAAGGCGTCGCAAAGTACTAGATCATAACAGGATCAAGCCATCAATTGAAGCCGGCCGAACAAGCATCGAGTTATACGGTCTCAAACCCGATTCATTCCTCTTCAATTCAGCATAGTTTTCACCTCGCTGTCCTACACGAAAGAATCTCGGGGCAGCTTTCTGAAGTACATTGTGTACTGTGCCGCACTACTTTGTGCCCGGACTAATAAGTACTGTGTTCTGTGACCTTATATTTGAAAGGTGGCTTGAGTTCCACCTATGGGCTCACCCTACCCAGCGACGAACAAACATTATGTGTTTGTTTTATCTTAGTACTTTAGACTTCCTCAAAACTTTGCTACTTTATCAACGGAGAAGGAAGACTTCAAACCCACAGTGACTTCTTGCGTCAGAATGGCTCGAACGTTATTTCTGCTTTTGTTGGCGACCCTGTTCAACAGTTCCACCCAACAAGGTACGCTTAACTAATGTTTAACAAAAACTCAAGTGTTTAGTTTACCTTCCCTTCTACTTACTATATCGAGTGTATGCTACGGTTTAATATGTTTATGAAATAAGATATCAAGACATCCTTCGGCAAATAGAATTTCCTATGGTACCATTTCTATAAAGATAGAAATTGTCTTTATTGTTGTGAAAAAGACGCTTGCGATCAGTGACTCAAAATGCTGTCCGCGTTGGCTCTGGCTCTCGCTCTCTGGTGAAATATGAGAAAAGTCGTAAAAGCATATGGGTACCATTACAATTGCCCACAATACATTGATTATTTTCTAATAGATTGTAAGACTATCAACAAAAAGACCATATTTCAACAAGAAGCCGTGTGAATCTTGTGACGAAAGAGTGGTAGGCGTGTACGCTTTCCCACATGCTTTTCTAAAACCGGATAATTTTGAACAGATTGTAGAACTGTACAAAAATGCTGGAATTCGCTAAATGTAGTTGTCGAAATGATTTCACTCAGACGAACATATAAAGTCAGTATGTATCAGTTACTACTGGTAGAAAAATATGGATCGTGTGACATCTTTTAATACATTTCTTTTCATTACATTGATTTATGTGCCTTAAAACGTTTATCAAATTATCCATATTTGTATCTTCATGTTATTTGCATGTTTGGGAACCGTTCTTTAGCATTCCGTGGACCATAACTCTGTTGTAGCTCAGATATTGTAGTTGGACTCAGTGACCTGTTACACATCGTCATGGTGTTTACTTAAAACTTGTCTCTTCGATCGAACTAACAGGAAGGTTTTTTTTTTTATCTTTCATCCCACTTTTTAACCGTTGCACTTTTCTGTTCGGGTTCCTCTATCTACTAACTGAGGGCATTCTTGGGATAGTCGAGCCCAGGCCGCAACTTAAGCTTATTTTCTGGCAATACGACCTTGGACGAATGTGGCTTCGCGGATCTGCAATATGGCACGAAGAAAGCCTCACTAAATCAACCAGTGTATAAAAATTCCCAGGTTGACCTGGAAATGTCACTCATTAAACATGTCTGTATTTACCAAGGTTATTACAAAATACAAACTTTGAGTCACGTCCCACATCTGGATTAGCTAAACACAAAGCAGTATAGCGCAAAGCTTCATTTGTACGGTTGTCAAGGGCACAGATGTTTTCAAACGTTCCCGGCAGGGGGTATATTTGTTTATACGCTAAGCAAACACTTGAAAACTAACGGCCATACATTTAGATCTACATTATGCTGGGATTATACGTAGCCTGTCATTGGCAAGAAAGTTCAACTTTAAGATCAACACTGTTATGAGGAAAACCCCTATTACGATAGCGTCACGCTGCTGATTGTGAGAGTATGTATACATATATGGCGTTTGCATCATCATCAACAAGAGTTCCAGGATTTCATACCTTCGATAATGATGTTTACCCTCCCGGTGGACGAATTATACATTTTTACTAATTGGTTTTGCAAGTAAGAGTCTTATTTTCATGGATTATATCAGTTAATCATATTCTCCGCGGCCTGCAAATATGTGTAACGCCTAGATGGATGTATACGTCCCTTACAAATGATCCAGGCTTCTGATTGCTTGACAAATATGATTTTTAATTTAATGTTACATTTTGCCAGACAGGCACAGTTTTCAATTAAAAAAGATGAAAAATACGTTGTGCATAGTCAGTAGGATCTTATGATGGGCCTGTCATCGAACCTCTAATAATTGCTATGGATTCAAATTAACTTAATTTGTAATTGTTATTATCCAAGGGTGTCCGACTGTCAGAATTTCCGGGTCAACATCGGCCCAGCTTAACCGGATGACCACCTACACCATGACAGGCCACCTTCGCAGTGGCCGCCCGGTGTATCTGTCCTCACGTGGCGACTACCTGTATTATTACAACCAAGGCATAATCCGCTGGTATGTTGGTAATCGTTTGGGGACTACTACTGTTGGGATGTACCTAAAGAACGACAGGAGCATCTACGCAGACAGCACATCCGGGACATGGTATCTGGCCTCAGGCAGCTATTTTTTGCCAAACAGTCTAGTGAGAGTTAGCTGCGAAGGTAAGTATGAAAATGTTTTAAAATATCATTCTCAGGTCACATTCATTTTTCTTGTCATCTTTTGATGATATCCTGATGTATTGATTTGGAAAAACTAAAACGTATTTTAAAACACCAGCTAGGCATACCGAAGAAGCTCTGGTGCAAATTACTAACGTCATTGTCTATCGCATAAGTACTAATATAATATAAATTTCCGAACATGTCCAACGTTTGCCATTGAAAAATCCACATTTTCGTGCATTGTAAGATTCTCTAATTCCATGGCCTTCTTGTTTAACATATACCTGCTGCACATTTCCTATGACCGTATTTTTTTTATGTGGCTATTTATTAAACAAAAATATTATGCAACAATAGCCACATCGGTGTTTTAATGATATCATTGTGTGCAGGAACTAATTTCCTAACTAGCTAACAAACTTTTGGGCTTGTGCTTTCTCCAATTATCTATGTCAGATCCAAGTGCGGTGGTGGACGGCCAGTGGTCGCACTGGGGTAGCTGGTCCACGTGCTCGAGTTACTGTAGCTGCGGTGACGACAGCTGCGTTGCGGAGACCGTCACCCGTACTCGCCAGTGCATCACCCCGCCTCCGCGGAACGGTGGTTCCGACTGCGTGGGTAACTCCTCGAGCACAAGGGAATGTCAATGCCGAGGTAAGACTGGACATGGTATGGTACATGTATTGATTTTTGTGGCATATAGGACCATATAGCTTTTCAGTAAGGAAACGTGAGTGTCAACGTAGGTTTTGCCTCTCTGGCGGCTTGTTGGGTGCAAGGGTGCTTTTGTTAAACTTTGTTAACTTTCATATCAATAATAGCTATCGGCCATAAATTTGCAATTTTGTTGTTGTTATTGTATTGCTCTACTCTACAGTTGCAAGATGCAGAGATAAACTCTGTGTATATAATAAATGTCAATATCATTTTGTCCACAGATGTTAATGAGTGTTCGGACAACACGCTTAACGACTGTGACCTGGGCAATGGTGGCTCATGTGTGAACACAGTGGGGTCGTACTATTGTGAATGTGACCATGGCTACAACATGCAGGCAGATGGAAAGACTTGCCAAGGTTTGTCTTCTTCCAGTTATATTCCGTCGTAAATTTAACAAGAAGAGTGATAATTTTAGTACAACCTGGACATGTATTACAATCATACTGCTACGTATAAGATGATCAGCCCAGTCTCCGGTGCAGACCTAAAGGCTTTATCTTTTGAACCATATGTACAAGGTTAGCCACATTTTATATAACATATAACGACTGTGACTGTAACATATAGGCCATGTGATGTATCAGTTACAGTACTCGTGTCGCAAGGGATTTGGGGGTCAGACATTAGAAGCTCTCAGAAGCCTTTATTTCAACACCAATCCCAGTGGAAACGTTCTAAACATAAAATTTACATGGCCTAACTAAAAAAAAAGTCAAAGTTTCAAAGACATCATGACATTAGTGCTTAATCTGCCTGCCTGTTGGGCCCAGCTGAATCACATTGCGCCTCGATCCTGTGTTAACAGATATCGACGAATGTGCAGATGGTAGCGTGTGTCAGAATGGTACATGTGCGAACACCATAGGGAGCTACAACTGTACCTGCGCCACTGGCTATATGATGAACTTCACAACTCAGAACTGCGAGGGTACGTGTAAGGTGATATACAAACGTACATGCAATATGATGATTGACTCAATAACTGTTGTGAATATCACATGGATTTGCAATGACAGTCCATATTAAAAGTCAGGTACTATAATTTCATTTACAACACTTGTTACCAGACTTGTTTAACTATTGCCGTTGCAAAGTCAAGTTGCAGTCAATAAAAGTCTGTAACATCATTTACAACCCTTGTTCAAAATTACCGGACTTGTTTAGTATCGTTGTTAAATCGAGTACTGTTTATATTGTTAACATGAAAAGATTGCCACTCCCAGATACTGACCACTATGTATTTTTTGACGATGGACACCAGACACCTCGTATGCCAATTTCCATGCCACTTTTCAAGTTGTCATAACTAAAACCAAGCACCTTTTTCACGCCCAATATAGCTAGCAGAATCCGGTTGGTTGGAGGGTCAAGACCGAACGAAGGACGCGTGGAGGTTCGGCCGGTGGACAGTTACAACTGGGGGACAATTTGTAGCCATTATAGCTCCCCATTCGGCACCTATGAAGGCAAGGTCGTTTGCAGGATGCTGGGGTATCCAGGCGCGGCCGCAGTGCGTCTGTCGGCATATTATTACGGACTAGGTATGTTAATGTGAACTAGAGAAAAACACGTGAAATCAGCTGTACAAATGTGTATGCACCTTAGTGCAGGTAATAGATAGGAACCGTGAAGTATTTCTGATGTCTACCTCCACCTAACCTGCACTGGTCTGTGTACTGGTGTACATGTTAGTGCATGTAAAATTGGAGCTGTGCCGCCTGTGGGGGTATTTCTGATGTCTAACTGCAACTAACCTGCACGGGTCCTTTGCGATGTTTATACCGTAGGTGTATGAACTTTAATTTGCTGCATTGACTGTTACCACCTAAAAGAAATAATGGCAATGGTTTTCAACAGTTTTACGTCTGGTGCAGGTAAAATATGTCCGGTGTACGCAGGTAATTTTGAATATTGTCTGCACCAGTGCAGTTACGCAGAAAAAAAAGGTATTTCGATCCCTATATTGGTTGTGGTGAAAATGTTTTAATATCTACTACCAGTAACGTTACACAAAGAAAGTAAAATCATTGATCTTGGTCACGTTTTGTCGTGAATACCAGGTTCTGGGAATATCTACATGGATGACACCGTCTGCACCGGTACGGAGAGCAGCCTGTTTGACTGTAGTTCCAGCGGCTGGGGAATTCACAGCAGCTCCTGTACTCACACCTATGACGTCGGTGTCCTCTGTTTCCCTTCAAGCAATCTTGGTAAGGGTAACCTTGAGATTCATTTGATTTGAAATATAACAATCATTATTACATATCTTTTCTCACTGTTGTTATCAATATTATTTTTTCATCATAATCAGGTTGTCGGTCAGTCCGTTTTGAAGGGTCGTTCTCTGCTCAGCACCATCGGATGACAGTCTTCACCATGACCGGGGAGTTCCACGGTAATCGGCCGGTGTATAAAGCTGGCAGTGACTATCTTTTCTACTACCCGTCGGATGGAAGCTGGCACGTTGGTCCTTATTTGGGATCTGCTGAAGTGGGGATGTACGTGGACGATAGGAGCGTTTACCCTGAAGACATCTCTGGGACCTGGTATCTGTTAGATACAGATGGCAAACGTTTTGTGGCAAACAGATATGTGGCAGTTTTTTGCGCCAGTGAGTACTTAGTATTAGTATTTTATTCTTTGCATAAATATTTTGGGCTTCTTATCAAATAGTGGCCTTCTGCACACATTGAAACGGGTAACGTTAGCCTAACTAACTTGCGTTGAAATTGCGCTCCTAGCGTAGCCTCCTTTTCAGGATCGGGCGCTTTTTTTAGTACATAGTACATACTAACATAGTACATAGCCATACCTTGTTGGTGGCCGGAGCGTCTATTGCGTGCGATCTACGTTTGATCAGAAATTACCTCCCCCCCCCCAAGAAAAGCGCCCGATCCCGGAACGCCTGAAAAGGAGGTTACTCCTAACGGTAACCGCCGCTAGAATTAACCCCACTGACTTAAGTGTGTTAACACTGATTAGCAGAGGTTTTGGGGGTGGAGGTCTAAGGGAGAAAATGAAAAAAAAATCTTCATTAGATTAATTTTGCAATCTTCATTAGATTAATCGTGTTACAAACGTGAAAAATTATATGCTATATTCAGTTCCAATTTCTTACCCCCTCAAGGTTCCGAGGGGCTGACCACATTTAGGATCGCACTCGGAGCCTTTGCCGCTGGTCTGGTTATCATGCTGATCATTGGCATCTGCAGCTGCAAAGTCTGTTGTAAGAAAAAAGGATCTGTCGCAGATTCGGAACACAACACTCCGCCTGAGGGTAACAGTAATACCGTTGAACCTCCTCCACCGGCTACCCCTCCACCGGCTACCCCTCCACCAGCCACCCCTCCACCGTCCACCCCTCCACCGGCGTATTCACCCCCATCTTTACCGGAACCAGATGGATCGCTGTTTGTCCGCGTGGTGCGCCTTACGTGAAAACAGCATCACAGCCATGGACCATATAGGATAGAAGACAGTACAGACGGGCGATCGTTGTTTTTATTTACATCATATGCATGCATGCTACTAGTATTTCAAAATACATGTATGCAAATCATTCGTAGGCAAATGAGTTATGATAATCGCTCGCGTGGCCACATGAATTTGGAAAAAGATGTGAAAAAATTTTTTTCCTGTATTTCTTACCATCACAGATGAACTTATTCATAATCAAATACAGTGTCATTTAGCTTTCAATTAGTCCCATGACATTCAAATATAGTTGAAGGTACACACTGAATGTAATCACATAGTTGTTAGAAGAAATAATAGGTAAATGTAATGGATGAAGCTGCTGATCTGCATAATCAATGAGAAAAATGTTATAAGTTTATAGTGGTAGCGGCCTCGAATTTCATACTTGCGTCAATAATTGCTTTTTTTATTTGGAAATTATTTGAAGGTAAACATGATGTTTTGATATTTGGACCTCATTTACATAATTTATGAAGAAATGCTATAATAGCGTGTTTGTTGAGATAAAACTGATACTGGGTAGAGAATATGATCAACTAAACAATGCATTCATTATTCATTCAAGATTAAGTACATAATTTGGCGAAAGTATGAGGAAAATGACGATAAAAAGGTTTAAAAAAGAAGACGTACTTTCATTGGGTAGAGAATAACACATCTAGTCGTCAGTCGTAGCGGTTACGAGTCACATAATTTGACGAAGGTATGGGATCACGGAACTCTGGTTATATATATGTTAGATTTATAGTTCAATTGTTCTTTTATTCATGTTAAGTATAAAAGTCTGAAGAAAGGAACAAGAGTCTCTCATATCTTTGCCAATTGATATTAACAAGGGCTGCATACCGGTTCTCAGAGTGCTGCAAAAATCTATTATGTGCAGCTCCAAAATAGCGAATCATTAAGTACTGGTACACTACCCTAGTGGCCTCATGTAACACAAGAGTAATCAAAGAAATGATTTTTTATAAATCAAAACCTGTGTTGGTCAGTCTCTCTGTCTTTAGTGTAATCCCCCTGGGCAGAAAGGTGGACACTATTATTGGTAAGCTATTGTTTTCATGGATACAGTAAAAGCAAGAAGGGGGCGTCTCCAAGATAATCTGATTAATGAGGTTGTTAAGAACGTACACCTCACCTCAGATTTTCTACTATTTATCAGCCTACAAAAGGAGTCAGGTGGAGACTAGCAAAATTCCTCTAATGGTACCGGTAATAGTGTTGGTCTAATACGGTTTAAAGCTTAAGAAAGAAATGCAAATTACGATGATTCATTAACAGGTTGTACGATCACACCGGTATTCAATCTAACTTAATTACTTATTTGAGAAAATGCGAATTATGGTGATCCCTTATCAGGTGGTAAGACCACGCCGCAGCAAGATAGCGAGGGTGCCGCGGTGGACATGCAAGAACTCCGTGGTTAAAATTCATCTTTTAAGAAGAACTACGTCCGTTTAAAGGGGTGAGTCGCACTTAATATTGTCCTTTATGTTCTCGTGAGTCGTGACTATTTGGGCCGAACTTGTTGCAATGAAATGAAGCTAAAACACAGAATGGCGTGAATTATTTGCGCTGGTGACAATTTCCTGTGTTTAAACCTGCACTTAGTAAAGCCGCCGTTCGAGGAAGGCTTTCTTCATCTCCGCTTTAAACTAACATGACTATACGTTAGATACGCTCGTCAGTTTATTACCTTCGCCAAGAAGGATATGTTTTCGGAGGCGTCCCTGCGTCTGTCTGTCTGTCAACAAATTAACTCGAGAAGGCTTATGTGGATTGTCTTGATATTTGGTATGCTGGTAGTCCATCATTGGCAGTCCAGTCTTGGAAGACTATTTCGTCTGCACCCTGGGAGGACAGCGTGTTCTGCTACTCTCCAAGCAGAGATTTGGGTTTTGGGGGTATTTTTGGGTATTTTTAGGCCTTTTTTATGGGGTTTCTTTTTTGTACTGTGCAAAAAAGAAACCCACATAAAAAGCCTGAAAACACGCCCAAAATACCCCAAAACCCAAACCTCTGCTTGGAGAGTAGTCTAATGTGACTGTAAAGTCATGACCAGTCCTATCATGGAAGGCAGCGGTTTTTAATATATATAAGTCTTTAATAAGACATCGAAAATTATCTAATTAGATTTTGGACCCCCTGGCGGCTTGTTATGGTACTGCAGCAGATCTTTTCCGGTTTTGCTATCTCATAATCTGGTCATACTCGAGTTTCGGCCCCCTAGCAGGTTGCCTGGAACTGCACGGTCGTTTATTCAAAGGAAGATAACTCAAGAACCGGTAGTCAAGATTTTTGGTATGTAGGTTGCTTCAGTGATGCTTAACATAAATAGATGACAATTATGCAAATAAGGATCTAATTTGCATATTAATGTGGAATTTGTATAAAACGGCTGCAAATGTAATCTACGTGAAACCAACCTGAACAAACAGTAAATTGTGGTTGTTGGATTTAGTGATGCGACGTGTGATCGGGACCTCCCATGCAGACCCTTAAAAATGACAAAGATGGTTGAAAGATGGTTGGGAGAGGGTAATGTTTGCGATTCTCTGAATTTTTCATTCTAAACGCCATTGTTGAAACTCAGCTAGGCCCTCCCTGCTGTTTGTTGTCATTTCTGAAACGACTAAAAGGTTCATATATAACAGCATTTAGCGTATGTAATCGGTGCAGTCTATGAAAAGCGTAAAATAAGCTATATTAGTACCTGGATTTTCATTTTGGCGGAATCAGCTTGCCCGAATACAACGTAACATGTATACGTAGCCGCTGCCGCATTGTGAATGTATCGTGGACCGTTGACAGTTCCACTCCTACCTTCCTCAAGTGCATGTCATTTTTTTTCTGTAAGGTTTGGCCAGCTAGCTTTAGCAAGTCCCTGTACTTTACGGATGCTCAAAAAGCGAGCGCGCGCGTGTGGTTTTCACCATACATACTGTGTGTTTTACTATAATGATAATGGCGTTCAGCACCAAGGACAGGTACCATTTCCATTAGAAACATGTGGTGCCGAGGCTGATTGAATTAGCAGATTCCGGCTACTATACTTTGACCAAATTGAATACTTATTGCTGCCGACACTACCTGTGTGTTATTTTGACACAGACTACTCCGACATTTTGAGCAGAGAGACATTATTTTTTCTGTGGGGATTGATTTTTGGCGGTAAAGTAGTTGTGGTTATCAGGGTAAATTAGAACAGCTGTTGTACACAGCTGTGTAAAAGTCACAGTGGTACGGGCCACTCTGCGTTCAGTGCGTCTGTCGGAGCCACGCGGGGAACACCAGGAATTATTTGTCAACTTTTTGGTAAATTTTCGGCTTCCAGCTCGAAAAACCTTCATTCTAACTTGCAGAAGAAATCTTTGGGGATGAGTCTACGGTGGAGTTGCTCAGTTGTGAGGTTTTCTGGATTTTGGGCGAAGAAATTGCGGATTTCCTGACGTGGTAGATTTTGGAGAAGACGAGAAAATGGCGCCAAAAGGATGGCGGCGTGGTCGTTGGGAGGGCAGAGTTTTCACAAGGTTAGGTAACAAGCCGTGCCGTAAAAAATGCGTAGAATTTATTTCCCACAAACTGATAACAACACGTTTCGGTATATTCGTGTGATTTTAACAATGCAACGCGATAGTTTGTGTAGTTTTGGGTCGTTGTTGTTTCAATATATCTCACTGTGCTATTAATTCTTCACGTCTTGTCCCAGAATATATTCCTACTCTTGAGTTAAAGTTTCAAGAGAAAAGAATGGACGTTTGTTTCTGTATACCTGGTCTAATAATTTTGCCCCTTGTCTGTGAAATAGAAGTGAAATAGAAAGGAAACATGGGTAGAATATTCGTGGGGATTTCCCTCATGGAGAATTTTGCCTATCGGTATGCATGCAACATTTCCCTTCATTTGGCTAGGTATTTCAGACTGGGATAAAATGACAATACAAACACCACTTTAACTTGATGTTTCTTGGATTTGCCAGCATTTTTCCTGATTAAAAAAAACATATACTAGTAACATTCAAGTTCTGTGTCAACCCCAAATTCCTCATTTTTTGCCCTAAAGTCTGTTTTTGAAGCTTCAATAATTTTAGGTATTGGATAGGATAGGAATAATGTAAAATTGTTACATGCATGTGATTAGTTTTTTGTTTAATTGTAGAACCAACTAATTAGACATCGAACATTCTCAAGTTTATGAAACCAAAAATAAACCTCTACATTTTATGTACATGTGTAAAGTTAGTGTAATATTCACATACATGACATTGTGTTCAATTAAACCAACTGTACAGAGTACCATTGTGTCCACAAATGCATAGCAAGTCTTAAAAGTTGTTATATGACAAGTCCTGGGTACAATTTTTCTCATCAATACCCTAAATTGATTATTCTTTATACAGTTAGGTGATTTAAGTGTTAGCTGTATGTTTTAAACATGACTTTTAAGCTCTTCAAGAATGGCATCAAAAGTTTCTGGTCTACTAGTAAGTAGTTGTTAAGCTTTTTATTGTCTGTGTATGATAGGGCTGATAACACCTTGTAACTTGACCTTGTTTTCATGTGATTCTGTAGTTAGCTGTGTGCTGAGGGTTTGCCAGCTCTGCAAGTGTTCCTGTCCAGATGAGATCAGACTTGTGATGGCAGAGGCACCAGGTGATCGGATACAGAGTATCAGGCCAGGTGAGGAAAATTGGAACTCTGCATTTTGCTTACCATTTACTTGATTATTTGAGACAAGTATGTAACTTGGTATCTCTACATAGTTAGGTGGCTGCTGACTGATGCAGTAGTGATGATTCCTGTCTGAACCTGACAAGACTGGATTGGACCAGACCAGACCAGTCTAGGTGACCCCAGAAGACCCTATAAGAATATCAGGTGAGAAAAATCTTAATTCTGCATTTTGCAAATTCCACTTGCTTGGTGTATTTGAGTAAAGTGTGTAACTTGTTATATCTGTAT